AGATCATTTGCATCTCCTCAACTTGACTCAAGACCGTCTTCGAATCCACCATTTTAAAATCAAGGAATCTACCAACAACAAATTTCTTTGCGTCGGCATCCTCGCTTTTATATTTGTGGTCCAAATCATTCCATAGCTTCTTAGCCGTAGCTAATTTGCTATACACATCATACAAAGCATCGTGCAGCCCGTTCAACACATAGTTTCGGCAAAGGAAGTCAGAATGCATCCATGCCTCAACCGCGTTGAAAGATTGCGCATCCATTTCACCCCCGGTTGCAACCGGAGCGTCCTCGGTCAAGAACCGTGCAAGACCGAGAGTAGTGAGGTAGAAGAGCATCTTTTGCTGCCACCTCTTGAAGTTCAACCCATTAAATTTTTCGGGTTTCTCCACAGAGTTGCTCGGCACGGTCACCATAGGGATAGCCCTTTGGTTGGCAAAGCAGATGCACCGCGTTGTGAACTATTGTTCACCGGAGCTCCGCTTTCAGAGTGATTTTCGTTCAGAACATTCTGCCCAACACCAATCTCGTTTTCTTGAGAAGTCATTTTTGATTTCTTAACGTTTTTCCGAAAACACAAAAAAAGATTTAAGTTCGTTCATAGAAGTAAGTGACAAACTACAGTTGAAGATTGTATCCGTATGATACAAACTTAGCAACAAAACGTTTAAAGATTGTATCCGTATGATACAAGCTTAGCAATAAAATACGTTTTAAGATTGTTGGGTGTGTTTCGGAAAATAAAGAAAAGGGAAAACTGTCAAATAGGTCCACCAACTTTTCACAAAAAGTCAATTAAGTCCATCTACTTGTTTTCGAGTCAATTAAGTCTATGAACTATAAAAAAGCGATCAAATCGTCAATTTAAACGGTAGACAACCGGTTGTCCGGTTGACTGTCTACGTGGACATCTAGTTGGCATTTTTAACTCTTTTCTATAATTGTTTTTTCTTTTCCTTTTTCTTTTTGTGTTTCTTTTGCATCTGCCTGCATCCGCATCTCCCTGCGCATCTGCAACTCATCTCCCTGCGTCTGCAACTGGCCAACTGGCTATCTATGGAGGTGGCGGCGGCGGATAACTGGCTATGGAGGCCTGTGCGATTGGAGCCTTGGAGATCGTTTCAATGGAAGAAGCGGAGGTGGAAGCTGGAAGTGGTGGGTACGATGGTAAGGACGGCGGAGGCGGCGGCTATGGAAGCCGTCACGGTTGGAGGTCGTTTCAGTGGAGGAGGCGAAGGGGAAGCCACACAGGTGTTCGCCGGAGGCGGTATGTATGGCGGAAGGGGCGGTTGAGGCCGGTGAAGGTGGAGGCCGGACTTCGGAGACCTGGCTATGGAGGCTGGGCGGCGGAGTTGGTGGCTAGAGAGGCCGGGACAGCGGAATCCGTTCCAGTGGGATCGACGGAGGCAACAAAAATGGAAGAAAGTAACCGGATTTACAGCGGGGGACAAGAAAGAAAGGAAGAAGCGAACAAGGGGAGCAGGGGACTCTGAGAGTAGAAGAGGAATGGGTCGGGAAGAAAGAAAGAGAAAAAGAAAAGAGGAAGAGAAAAAGAGAAAAAGAAAAAAGGAAAATTAAAAAATACGGAAAACAGTAATAAGAAAATGCCAGCTAGGACATCCACGTAGGCAACTCACCGGGTAACTGGTTAGCTACCTATTAAATAGAAAATTTGGTCATGTTTTGATAGTTTGGGGACTTGATTGACTCGAAAAAAAGTAGATGGACTCAATTGACTTTTTGTGAAAAGTAGATGTACCTATTTGACAGTTTTCCCTAAAGAAAATTAATTAAAATAAATCAATTAAAATGACGAAAGAAAAACAAGAAAGGAAATATGGAGCAGAATTTAGCCAAAGCTCGTGCTACGCACGATGTCCTTAAAACGTATTTGTTGCCTCCCACGGTGCTAAGAGCGTTGCAACAATCGTTTCTCAGGATACGATGACTACGAACTAATGTTTGAGCACACAAACAAGAGTTCCAGCGAACGAGAACAAAATCTGAACACAGAGGATTTTTTCAGAGAGACTGGAGGTGTTGTAGAGCTGAGAAATACGTGAGGAATGTGTATTAGCGTATGTATCAACGTGTGTTGTTGCAAACCACCTGCCAGCCATTATATAGGAGGATTTGTTGTGTGTAAATGGTGAATTAATGGACCTGAACGTTGGACATTAATGACCAGTCTGTTGGGCATTGAATCGTCCATGAACTGTCCATTTAACGCTGCATTAAAAGATAAGAACGTTGGGCATTCAATGCTGTAACAGTTCATAACGCGACCAGAAGACCTCCCAACAGAACACCCCACGAGGTGTTCTGTCCGAGCCAACAGAACCCCATTTGAGGTGTTCTGTCTGAAACCAACAGAACCCCTACGAGGCCTTCTGTCCAGAGCCATTAGAACACCATACCGAGGTGTTCTGGTCGAGGCCTTCTGTCCGGAGCATTTCTCTTGAGAGATAGATTTTCGGACGACATTCGTGTCCGCAAGTCGCCCGCGCACGCAAGTCGCGGTTTTTCTTCTCCGATTTCGGGATTTGATTTGCACTCCCCTGCGCGCGTGGAGAGAGCCTTTACCCTTAGGAATCTTAACTCCTTAAGGGGGGAGTCCCTTTATAAAGGGTTGCAAATCCCTTTGGTTTTCCGGTGGGAAATAACACACTAGAAACTCATCCTTTTTCCCAGTTTTTCCATTCTAACGGGTAAATTTCGAGAATCAATTTCTCATTCACCCGTTATCCGTTTTGAGCGTACCATATATCGAATTGTAGCCTTAACAAGAACAATTCGAAACCACTTTGACCCGAACCAAATCGGAAGTGGACCCCACTCAAAAAATTGCCCCAAAATTACCATTTAATGCAATTTTTCACACATTTTTCCAACAAATATTTCCAGCATTACTTAAAGATCAACTAGCTTTGTTTCATATAATAATTATTACTAGAATCGATCGATGAATACGCTTGTTAATTGTTCGGTCCTTTCACGTTAGTAAACTTTGATTATTAATGCATGTGTCTCATGGTTAATAATTTAATCTAAGGGAAATTAATTATATTGATTAAACCAATAAACCGCTTGTGTTGAGGTTATCAATCTCAATCGTTCTCATCTTAAGTTTATTGCTACTATCGGGTCAATATACGACGGCACGCGTTCTACATTGACTCGGTAGTAAGTTTTATTAATGAACATGTCTCCTTATTAATAACTACCCTCGATGAATTGGAGATACTCCTCGATTGAGTATTCGATAGGAAGATAGTTAAAGATATAACCGGGATCGGCGAACATTTCATTAAGTGGATATAAACAAAACCAAGTCCTCATCTCTAATTAATTAAACCACATAAGTCGTTCAACCTAGTGTTTAAATATACTTCAAGTTCAACAACAACTTAAAAAAAAAAAAACCTTTGTTACTAGTTCTATAAAAGAGAAGTATTTCTTTTCCTGCGAATACGATCCTTACTCAATATACTACGTATCATTGTTGTATTGATTATTATTTTGAGACACACTACGGCAAAGTGCCATCAGGAGATGAGATTTTCATTTTTAGTACCGATTTTCTTTAATTGTGCCCATTATTAATCCCGTAGGTTTACTAGCTCACACATTGGGTTGTATAGCTAATAAAGTTTTGCAATTTAAAAACTTTTTCAATGAAACATCCACGTTCGTTTACACTAGATTGGAAAAGGCATCACCGGGGTTCAAACTTCAGCTGGAAAGAGTACTATAGATAAGAGTCTTTAAATTGCAAAGATTTATTAGTTACAAAATCAAATCTGCAATCGAGTAAGTTAAAGGACTAATAACAGGAGCAACTGAAAGTTACGTGACTAAAATTGCAAACCTTATTTAATCTGCAATCAAAATACTTCGTATTTATTAACATAGAATCACGTAAGAGTTATTTAAGATGGATTTTGTTAAGCAACACATAACTTTTAACGTACAAGTGGATTTACTACAGAGGTAGCTTATCAAATAAAAAAATTGTACCTAGATAGAAACCTGAATAAACGACTATATTTGCACCGTAGTAGCATATTTTACTATACTCTCTATCCACATGCATAAAAAAACGCCCCCGACAAATCAATTTTCTAGATCTGCCCTCAGTAAAAATGACAATAGATAGTGTCGAATATGGGCAATGAGCATGATATTAGGTAGTGTTGTACATGGATTGTGAATGGATTCACTGATGAAGTGTCTTATGCAGTGAATCAAAAGCAATATAGTAATAATGACGGGACGAGATGTAATATATATATATACACTAATATATATATTAGATAGTTTTGTACATGGGCTGTGAATGGATTCATTGATGAAGTGTATTATGCAGTGAATCGAAAGCAATAGAGCAATAATGACGGAACAAGATGTAATATATTTAACTGGATGTATTACTAATTTAAAGTAACTAAATCCTAAAATAAATAAATGAAAGAACTATAAAGAAATTACTAACATGACATCATGGATGAGAAGAGAATGAATGCTAGCGAGAAGTGCTGTGATTCCTTCTTACCAGATGTGCAATAATGTCGTGTAGTAATGTCGTACAGTAACTGCAGTATAAAGTGCAATATTTTAAATTGGACAAAAATAGTGTAAAATACACATTATATAAATGAAGGGTATTTTGGTCATTAAACATTTTAATATGATTGTTTTTTTCCGGTCATACATATGTTTGTCAACCTAGTTTGTCATATTTAGAGAAACTCAATACTCCCTCAGTCCCATTGGACTTTGCCAACTTTTCTCTTTTTGGTTGTCCCAAAACACTTTGCCACTTTTATATTAAAGCAACTAATTTGTGGTTCTGCACATTTCTCTCTCCTCTACACAAATTTCAACCACACAGTTTTTACAATTCTTATTTCTCACATACTTTGCACTTGGCAAAGTCCACCGGGGCGGAGGTAATATGTTTTAATCATGTTCCAAGAAACTTCCCGAGATTATTTTAGACTTGGAGTTGTTGCTTTTGTTTATTAGTCATGAAAGTGAAAGATATTGATTTTGAATTCGAGTAGATTATTTATTCTCTCAGTTGTTGCTTTTGTTCTAACTGACTTTCTTGAAAAGAAAACAAATAATGAACCATGTCAACAACAGTTCAAATGGTTTAACAGCATGACCGATCTAACATCTGACTAGATCCGATACCTCTAGGAGCCGTTTACTTACTCGTTTAATAAACGGTGCTTGTTTAGGAGCCGTCTTACTAAGCATTGCTTAGTAAAGAAGTGTCTATTTAGCCTGAGTTTTACTAACCTGTAACACGTTTACTTCATCAGCCCAAAGATACCTTATATTTTAAAATTACCTAAATAACATTAAAACCTACTCCCTTATTTTATTTCATTTCTACTGCTTTATCCCTGTTAGAGAAAACAGTCGGCTCCTATCTCCATCGAAGAAGCTAAGCCGCTCCCATCTCCATCGAAGAAGCTAAGCTGCTCCCATTTCCATCAAAGAAGAAACGTGTTGACCATCTCCAAGCCTCCAAGTATTACTTTCTTCTTCTTCCATTTTTCAGTCCGATTTGAACAAGGACCCTCTATCCCCTGTTCGAAATTACACACACATATATATAATTACTTTTTTTTATAAAATATATATATATATATATATAATTACTTTAAGAACTTTTTTCCCTTCAAAACTAGCTATATGTAGTTATATAGATATATCTACGAGCAAAGTATACAGATACGATTGTGGTCAATGATTCTTTTAAATTAGATGATTTGTCTGCTTAGGTGTTTGTGTACATGAATAATATGACAACATGAACTACTTTTGAGTGCTCTTGTGGTGTGTAATTTCAATGTGTGATGCCATTTGTTTTTATCGCATATTTGTTCTAACGTATGTATCAAATTGTCAATGCTTTTGTATTTTCAATTCATTACAATCTCAAAATCTGTTTTTTTTATAGAATGGAAGAAAGTCATACATCAAACAACCATGTATTAGGACAAAGTTCTTTAAATTCAAAACGTTTCTTAAGGAGAAAGTCCTTAAAGTGGTGGTTCAATGCTCAAACATGGTTTATGGCGATCATATTTTGGATGTTTGTTTCATTATCCACAAGGCGAAGGCGAACACGGGGTATTCGATATATAATAGATAATCATTCCAAAAGGGAGGGATATTTTCAAAGATTAGTACACGGACCTGAATCAAATTGCATTTCCCAATCAAGAATGTGTCGTGCTGCTTTTTTCAAGTTGTGTGATATGTTGGTTACAAAAGGTGGGTTGAGACCAACCCGACATTTGATAGTAGAAGAACAAGTAGCTATATTTCTACTTGTACTATCCCATCATCAAAAAAATAGAACTTTAATAATTGACTTTCAAAGATCTGGGAGAACAGTAAGCAAATGTTTTTCTGCTGTAATACATGCGGTGTTACAACTTCATTCTACCTTGTATGCTAAACCTCAACCAGTTACGATGGAATGCGAAGATGATCGATGGAGACCATTTCAGGTGCATATCTTAATTAATCTATACACCAATCTATTTGTAACTACCCCGTTATATTTCTTTGTAATACTAATAATTGTAATCTTGCAGAATTGTGTGGGTGCACTGGATGGAACTTATATTGATGTCCATGCATCACCGAAAGATCATAATCGTTTCCGTTCTCGAAAAGGAAGGATTGCTACAAATGTCCTTGGTGTGTGCAATCCACAAATGCAGTTCATATATGTGTTTCCTGGATGGGAGGGATCAGCTGCAGATGGTAGAGTTTTGCGTGATGCCCTCACAAGAAGGTTCCGAGTTCCACAAGGTATACACATTTTCGATACTAAAATTAAATTCTGACATTTTCCATTTGTCAGAATGGAAAAATAATTGTCATCTGCAAAATGCACATGAGTATTTTAATATGAAGCACTCACAAGCTAGAAATATTATTGAGCGTGCATTTGGATTACTTAAGAATCGATGGGCCATCTTACGTAGTGCCTCATGGTATTCTATACGTATGACATGCCAGATTATAGTTGCGTGTGCTCTACTACATAATTTCATTCGACGTGAACATGATATTGATCCAATGGAGGATGATGAAATAGAAGAAGAGGAAGATGTAGATGAAGAAGATGAAGATGAACCTTTTGGGGGGGCTAACTTAATTCCTACCGAAGCATGGACTACATTTCGAGAGGATTTAGCAACAGGCATGTACAATGCTTGGATTTAATATATTATGTAAGGTGACTTTGGATTTATTTTATCATGTAAGGTGACATTGGATTTAATCTATTATGTAAGGTAACTTTTGATTTAATCTATTATGTAAGTTAACTTTGGATTTAATGTATTATGTAAGGTGATTTGGATTTGATCTATTTCTTGTGATGATACTCATATGGCATATTGGGTTATCATGTAGTTTACTCCAAAAGGAGTACTTTCTACATATTTCAGTAATTAAAATAGTAGTTTATTTCCGGTTTACTACAAAAGAAATGCTCATTAAGTGGTGTTCCAATTACAACCAGTGTGAAGCATAAAACTAGTATATTGACATTAATTGCTACTGAATCACTAGCATGCCATAAAATATTTAAAGCCTTCAACCGACAAGACAAATTTGATCACAGAGAAAGAAATTACTACTTGTTACCACTTCGTACCAGGAAACCAGGATGCTGCAGGTCTGGAATTAAGTTCCCTGGACACCTTCGTTTTTTTCAAGCATACTAACAATACTGCTTTTTACTCATCCCTAAAAACCACGGTATTGGTTTGCAAAACAATAAAAACAATAGTAACCATCGGCAGACCTATGAGCGTGTGCCAAACTATCATAATACTCCTCAGTTCGAGTGATATGTTGAACTTGTAATGCTTCTGTTTACAGTGGCATTAGAAGCTTTCAAAAAAAACAGTTTTATTCTCTTCAGTTTCCACCTGTCAATAGCTACAATGCTTCAAGGAAAACAAAAAAAACCAGCAACAATGGAAAAATGTAAACAAGCATCAACAATCCAACTGGACACAATGAAATTAGACCACAAAATCACAGTTTTTAAAACACCCTGTAAGTACCATTCAAAAAACATCATCCAGGCAGTACATGGGCAGTGTAAAGTCGGTTACAAGGCAGTGCCAAAAAATTAAATCATGAGTCGTCTTCTAAATACCACTTGCACCAGTCCATCTTTTCTGCATCTGGCAATCCATAAAAGTACAATAAGTCGCTCTGATTTTTTCCCATTTTCTTCATGATCTTGTATTTCATATTTCGAGTCATTCCTTCGAGTTCATCTAAAGCAGTTGGTAGGCGTGATGTCTTATCAGCTATATCTGTATCCACCCTTGCCATCTCCATTCCCGCCTTTTCAAGTCGAATAGAAGCCGCCTCCACACAAGCTGAGAAACTATCAATACTTGGCCCGATCTTACCCTTCTTCTTCCCACTGTTATTAGTGGTAGAGGAGTTGTTTAAACTATTTGCAGAAGTGTCGGTATCCGGAGCTGGTCTCTTTGATGTCTTTTTCTTTCCAATACCAAGCATGGAGGGATCATGTGTGTCTTCTATGTCTACTGATTCAACAAATGGGTCAGATTCAATATGATGAATCATATCTTCACATTCCATTCCTGTTGCTCCAGTAGCTCGATCCTCTGAGTAAATACTACAAAACTCTTCATAGTACCACAAACTTTTTCTCCTTAAAGCTGCAACCTTAGGTTTAGTCTGAAAGTATATATCCAGATTAATAGAAAAATGTACCAATTACACAGTATCCAAATATTAAAGCAAAACAATAACTAATTGCATTACCTTCTCAAGAGCGTCCCACACTTCATTAGGGGCAGTGACCATCTTTATCAAAGGATCCCATCCAAATCCACTTAATGAAGCAGTGCGCCCATTCAATAAGTCATAATACTCTTGCCATACTTGTTTCATATTTCTTATAGGGGACTCAATGTGTGGCTTAGCATCCAAGTGAGAATGAGGTAACTTAGCTGAGATCATTTTTGCAAGCACGCTTAGATATCCAGCCTCAAAGCCTCCTTTTTTCCCATTATATGTACCACGGTTATGCAATTCGGTCATACAAGCAACAAGAGTTTGGTCTTCTTGTGCACTCCATTTTCTTCTAGTTGATTTTTCAACGTTTGGCTTCTGTGAGAAATAAAGAGTCTGTCACAGTTATCCTCATTTCAGTTTATTTACAATTTATAAATACTTCTGTTTAATTTAAAAACTATCAGTATGAAACCTCAGTTTAGTTTCTTATTTGTTAAACCCATAAAACCTTGGTTCAGTTCTTACCCTTCACGAAATTTACAGTGGTTATACCTCTTAAATATACATAGAGAAACAGAGAAAACAATGAACAAGTAAACAATGCTATGATAAAATATAACATAGGAAACATAAATAACATACAAAGCAAAGAAAATGATGTCAAAATAAGTAAAGAAATGACATCTATCGGACTGAACTTTACCGGACTAGACAGAAAGTAACAAAGAAAACAATGAATAAATAGGCAATGTTATGAATAGAAAATAAGTGAAGAAACGGCCTTTACCGGACTGAACTGTAGCGGACTGGACAGTACAGATAGAACATACAAATACACTGAAAACATATAAATAGCAGCAAGAAATCGAAAACATTTATGTATCAAAAAACAAAACAAGATTCACCCTATCACACAAGCTAAATTTGGTCCAACCAACAAGCATCAGGCATACCATTAATTATCATATTCTACTTATGTATAACATGTCTTTATGTCTATCTATTTGGTGCTTGGTTAACCAGGTCAACTACCAAAATATCATCTGATGTAGGACCAAACATTCTGCAGCTTTAATTTTTTTTTTACTTCACGATGTCTATTTCATCCACAAATAGACCTACACTACTGTTATAGCAAAATTAAGCTTTATGTAAGTTTTATTTTGCAAAACTTTTGCTGTGAATCCTTTGTTTTGCTCATTTAACCTACCCACTATACAATCATCCAATGGAGAATGGATGCGTCAGATTTTGAAAGCATTTTCCAAAATAATCAATGGAATCGACAGTTTAGCCAAAGGGTTTGCCGACGCTTAGATGAACGACTTCAGAGGGGAAGAAGGTAAGGAAAAAAATAGGAAGTTCGTTGTAAAAGGAAAGAATGACCGAGAAGTGTTGGTTTGCTGGGCATCAGATTTTTGAAATTTAAGGTTGGATAACAGATGGGTGGATGCCGTCGCTTCTTCCATGTGTGAAGTTGGAATCGACAATTTTAATCTATTGCAAACCCAAATCTAATAGAAGAAATCACAATATGGAATAAGCATAACCTAAAAATCACTTTACCAACGCAAGTACAGTTTACCTGGGATGGTTGCGACATAATAGCAGCAGGAAGGTCGGCAGTGGTTGGAGAAAGATAGGCGAGACCGGTGAATGGTGTTCTACCCTATTTTACGATGAGAGATCTCTGGATTAGATATGGTATGGATGTAAATAAAAATTTCTCTTTGAGAAGAGTAGGGACACGCTCGGCAATAAAATAAGCTTAACTTAACGATTAAATAATACATGGGGAGGACATCACTTTACTAACCGGCGACTTAAGAGGCCCTTCGGCTTACTAACCAGGGAGTTTGACATGAACATCGTTTACTTCACACGTCTTATTAAGCAAGCAGCGAAGTTAACATCAAAGTAAACGGCTCCCTAGTAACTTGTCCAACCGGCTGGTCATCAAGCCCAATTTTAAACACTGATAGGGGCTTACGAGGGCTGTAGGGCATTACCATCACATGCAAGAATATAATGGCAAATTATATCGTACGACCGGCATACCATGCGCATGGTATGCCTGGTCTGGTACGGCACCGTTTTGCTAATTAAAATCAGTCTGAAATCCTCCTCTCCAGTCTCCAATCCTTTGGCCAGCCGCGAGTCTTCTTCCTTCTCCGTCACTGCTGTTGGGTGCTTCTGCTTCGTTTTTTTCTCCTTTTCAATTCCCCCACGCAAAGAACCAAAGACTACCTCCTCCCCACCCAATTGTCATGTAGTCCGTATGGGATCTACCATAATATGATACATGTCCACATGCAGATTTGTCATTACATTGAGAACAAAATTTTATCCATAAAAAATAACATAAACACATTTATTGGTCAAATAAAATAAACATACCACATGGAAAAATGATTTTTCTTTAAAACATATTTAATTTAAATTAGTTGAACAATTAAACTTCTTATTTTCATTGTTTACATTTGATATTATATGAAGTTACATTTTCTTCTGCGTAAGTTACATCTTAATGTACGCGAGTTACATCTATATATATGCGAGTTACATCTTAATATATGCGAGTTACACCACTGAACAAACTCCAGCTATATCATTTTTATTGCCCTAATATTAAAAATAAAACATATTCACTATTTATAAAAAGTAATTAAGCTATTAGGATCAATTTTTCATTGTTTACATTGAAATCAATGTTTATAATATATCTCAAACACACAAAAAATCATTGTTCAATTTTCCAACTAAGTTATATTTTGTATACCCCACGTTACATTTGGTAGGGGTGGACAAAACAGTTCAGGTCAACCGACCCAACCCAAACCAAAATTTTGGAGTATGGTTTGGGTTCGGTTATCCAAAGTAACCCGATTGGTAGGTTTATGCTGGAACCGGGCCGGTGATATCACCGAAATACCGTTTGCAACGAACGGTTCCGTCAAACTAATTCCCACTGAATTTTGAAATATTAACTAACGAGTGACAATAGAGCAGAGCTAGAGGCACTTGACCACCCATGAGGCCATGACACTTCTCAACCCATGGGCTGGTTATATAGGAACATAGGAGGACTACATCTTCCGTTTCATCCGGTGTGGGAAGTTTCGAAGGCTGACAAAAATTATAAATGAAGGTGCAGAGATGGGAATCGATCATGGGTGGGCGAAAAATTTTACATGGGCGAAAAATTTTAATCCGCTGGGCGACTAGAACAAGTGATAAATAAATAGCAAAACGACATAGTTATTTAGGTGATAATTAAATAAAGTACATCGGGTATATTTTAAGAAATAACTTTAATAGATATATATTATAATGTGTTATTATTGATAATTGTGATGTTATAAATGTATTATTTGTAATATTTAATGACTGATTTGTCACTTAAAATTGTTAATTGTTTCCTAAAATGGAAATGAGAACCTTCTAACGGGACGGAGGGAGTAACATTTAATAAAAGTCAGTTCGGTTCGGTTTGAACCGATTTTAAACCTCCATAAACCGACTTCGAACCGATTAATTTTTGGGTCCCGACTTTCGGGTCCCATTCTAGTCGGTTCGGTTTCGGTTCGGTTTTTTTCGGTTTTCG